TGGTGATAATTGAGATGACTCCCCATTTAAATGAACAATGTGGTTTACAATAAGTCAATGGTGTCCCAGAACTGCTCTGTTTCCCGCATTCTTCAGAATATCATCCTTTGTGTTCTGCCGAACAAAGACATTCATACAGGTTTGAAACTACTTGAGGGTGAGTAAATGATGACAGAATTTTCATTTTTGGGTGAACTAGCCCTTTAACAAATGTTATTTCATTATAAATATGCTTGTCTGATCAGATAAGTTAATATACATCCAGTTATGCAATGAGATAGCCGGTTACACTTTACTTGAAGGGGTGTGCATAAGACTGACATGACACCTACATAATCATGACATGACAAGTCTTATGCACACCCCTTCAAGTAAAGTGTTACCAGATAGCCTAACTATAAAATTACAGAATTCCTTTTTTTTTTTTTGCTGCTCGGGGTAGAGAGATAGAAAAGGAGAAGATACATTGTGAAATGTCAACATTTCTATTTCAGTTCATGTTTGAATGTTTGTGAGACAGTATCTTCTCAGAGTTTATCTGAAGTTCTAAATGGCGAATAGTTTACTGATCAAAGTTACAGATACGTTGAGACCGTTGTGATTCTCAGTGTAGTCTGTCACTAGAGGCCTTTGGTTTATTAGCTGCTTACACTGATCAGTGCTTTTCTTGAAAAAAATAATAATTTTATTTTTTTGTATTCTTTTAGACCTAACTAGTATGCAGGATGCCAACGGCGCTCAGATGGTATATTTCCAACCTGATTTCATGGAAAAACATAGTGATTTCATTCAATGTGAATCGATTTTTACAAGAAAGTAAGCAGGTCCACTAACCTCACCCCTAAATCATAACTGGGATGAAAGCAGATCAAACGCATTCATACAAATCAGCCACCAATTTGCCAAAAGGTAAAATAGGAACTGCCATGAGATTGTGCTGGTATTTACAGTACATTCTTGAAATATGCAGCTGTGCTTGCATCCATGCATGCTTTTTCAGCTAGTATTTGACTGCCAAATGCATGCATTTATATGAATTATACTGTGTGTGGAATGCTGGAATTGTGATTCTAGATGATTGTAGATGACAGTAATGAACCCCCCTCAAGGTTGCCCCCTGGATTATCTGATTCCCATGCCAAGGCTGTGAAAATGCTGTGGCTTCTTTTTTGTGTGTGTGTAACTGAGGCTTTCAATATTATGTGGCACCGCTGACCTTTAGACATAGAAACAAAAGATAACTTGTTTTTAGTGAATGCCACATTAGCTCTAAGATAACAGCAGACAATGGGAGAACTGTTTAATGTTGTTAAAGAAATAATTCACCCAACAATGAAAACTTTCATCATTTAATCACCCATGTCTTTCAAAACTTGTATTTCTTTATTCCTGTGCTTTTTTATTTTACAGTGACTGTCACTTAAAAAGATGACACAAAAGTGCCATAGAAGTAATATAAGTGGTCAGTGTGACTTGTGGATTATATCCCAAGTCCTCTGAAGCCATACGATAACTGTAGATGAGTTTGTTTCTTCATCTGATCAGATTTGGATAAATTTAGCATGCCATTACTTGCTCACCAATGAATCCTCAGCTGTGAATGGGTGCCGTCAGAATGAGAGTCTAAACTACTAATTAAAAATATTACAATAATCTACAAGTAATCCACATGACTCCAGTCCATCAATTAACATCTTGTGAAGTAAAAAGCTGTATGTTTATAAGAAACAAATCCACCATTAAGACATTTTAACTTTAAGCCTTTACTTCTGGCCAAAATATGAGTCCATAAACCATAATAATGCTTCCTCCAGTGAAAAAGCCCATCACCTGTTGTCCTCTCACATCAAAATCCATTGACATACTGTATTCATTTAGAATGGTTTGGGACTGTTTTTGCTTGTGAATTGCACTTGATCTGTACAAATGTTTTACTGGAGAAAGCAATCATTCATAATTCAGCTGCATGGAAAAGAGCAAATAAGAAGTATTACAAATCTACCCTTTTGTGTTCCGTGGGAAAAGTCACAAGGATTTGGAAAAGCATGAAGGTGAGTAAATGATGACATGATTGTCACTTTCAGGTGAACTATTCCATACTTGCCTATTAAAGTTACTTTCATTGACCCTCATAACATTCTCATGTCCTTTAGCTTACTTTGCTTGGGACACAGACAAAACTATCTTGCAATTTAATACACACACAAAATAAAATAACATCAGTTTCAAAAATTGTACAAAGACTAATTGTCCTAAAAGGTCGGTTTCAAATAGGTTTATGATCCTCCTCTGTACTGTAAATGTGTTGCTTTAACCTTGCTTTCTACCCAGTAGGAAACTTTTAAAACTAGCATTTCCTTTTATCATTCAGAGACGCTTTTAAAATACTTCTCTCCAGTCAAATTAACCCAAATGAATAATACTGCGTCTTTCACACTGATGTGTCACCGGGCGGCAGTGCAATTTTGTTCACTTCATTCAATG